AGTGCAGTGGCTTCAGGGGAAGAACTCCTCCCTCACCTCCCACCACCCATCCCATGCCACCGAGTCCAGGACTTCTGGCTTTTCTGCATCCGTTACCTGCCACGGTGCTTTGAGAGGAAAACAGAAGTTAACTTATACAACAGAATGAAACCACCTACTTTTCTGCCATTTCTTTACCCCCATGTTATCAAATATTAATTTCTGGTTCCTTCTATGAACTTCTCGCAGGTTTGCTATGCAGACCAAGGGAGAGATTGAGAGTACTTTGTTGTTGCCCTATTTCATGTCATTCTTCAGGTGCTAGTTTTATTTCCCTGTAGAGTGAGTGCCAAGGGGTGTGTGTGTGTGTGTGTTTTATGGTAGTGGAAGACTATGAACCAAAAGACAGATTCTGAAATAACAGATTTCCTCCTAACAGATTTCCTCCTACAATGTTTGTAATAGAGATTCTGAACAAAGAAGGGCAAACCACTGGAGAAGGGGCAATCCAGAGAGAAGGAACAAAGTGAACCAAGCAAGGAAGACGGGCAGGGTTTGATACACAACAAGCAGTTCCCTAGTCTGGAGGACAAGGGTCCAGCGGAGGGAATGGCAGATGTGCTCATATGATGAGGGAGGGAGCTTAGTCACAGGTGGTAAACTCAAGTGCCACAGCAGGAGTGGGCACTGTATTCTGTAGTCAAACGAGGAACATTTGGAAGGTTTCCAAGTAATCAACTTACACTATGGAAAAAATAACAAAAACTGAATCTGAGAGTTTTGAGGCTATAGATGAATGAAGCCTGTTAGAAGGCTATCAGAATAATTCATAAGCCATTAATACCATTAAGTAGTGGTGGCAGTCCTGGAGAGGTAGGTTTGGCTAAGAGAAGACTTTGGGGGCTAGAACAAGGAGCACTTACTGAGTGAACCTCCTTGAGGGCTGATGGGATTTTTCCGTATGCACGGCTGACTGGGTGTATCAGGATCTCTCTGCTGAAGTGGGGGTGGGGAGAGAAATGAGAAGCAAGAGAGCTGCAAGAAAGATGGGAGATATTCAGGACAGGTTCTAGACAGATGGAGTTGGAGATACACGATGCAGAGTTGGAATCGCAGTTGGAGATGGAGGTTTGGGAGCTACCAGATTATAGGTTAAAAAAAAAAATGAAGCCAAGTGAGCATATAAAATGATTAGAGAAGGCAAGTAGACTTTTGATTCCTTATGAGGAAAGTAAAATACAAGGATCCAGCAAAGAGAAACTGAGGCGGAATACTTATGTAGGTAAAAGGAGATGCAAAGGAAATTAAGATATCTTAGTCATGGAGGGAGGAGAGTATTGTCTAACTGTTCTCACCCTTCACAATGACCAGAGACTTCTTTTCTGGAAACACCGAAGAAGTTCAGGACCAGAGTACAAACATGGTCAGCATAGGCAGGATAGAAGGCGATGAAAAGTTTGTACACTGGGTTATGAAATTCTCATCTCCTCTCTGACCTATACCCAGAGAGGGTAGGAATTATTGGCATATGCACTACAAAACATACATAGGTATATAGATGGAGAAGAGAAAGAAGTAGTTGACAAGGAATCAGGGAACAAAGGCAAAGGGGAAAACAGCTGTGCAGCAGGCCCAGTAGACAACCAGTCCAGACTGAGGAGGGAAGCAGAGGGCTGAGCAAGGAAGGCCTCCAAGGGAAAATATGAAACCGATGTGTTTAAGTGTTTGGGAAAATTACTGATAAGTGCTTGGCAGAACTAATGCAGCATTTGGAAAAAATAAAGATAAATATATAGGAAACCAAATAGATAAAAAATTAAAGCAATTATTCTTTTGAAGGGGAAAAAGTGGTAAGGAGAAGACAGCATAGTCACAGTATACCACTTGACTCAGTAGGAAACAGGTCTTACACTGTAAATGTATAAACATATAAATGCATGCATTCTGGCTGCTGATTTATCAAAACACTTATGATGTAATCATATCAGGACAATGGGGAAAAGGGTAAGAGGACCACTGAGAGGACTACATCGTTGACAATCAAATGATAGTAGAAAGACAAAAGATATCTAATCTCTAGAAATAAAAGTCTGAGTACAGCCCATTACTTGGAAATACAAACATAAGCGCCAGCTGGCATTAGAAGTAATTTTCCACAGGGGAAAACCTGAGTGGTCAAGCCTTGCTGGTATTTTCCCTTTGCATATGAATTACTTTAATGGAAAAAAAAAACAAGAATAATAATTGCAAACCATTACGTAGAAGCAGAAAATGTTGGGCATTTTGAAAGCTTAGTTAAGTTGGATGGAGACAACTATAGGGGACTGCATAGGTGAAGGAAGAAGTCTGCTAAGCTACAAGAGGCATGTTTAGTACTGGTGTAGCTGGCAGGGGGAAAAATGAGTTAAAACAACACAGAAGACAGAGAAAACCAGTCATGAGATCCTATAGGAAGTAGACAGAAAACATTAAGCCTAACCAGTTGGGGACATTTTGGAATCCTTACAGTACATTCCTATTTACTGGAAAATCCTCTCTATACCTTCTCCTCATCATTTTGTTCACGCTGCTCTCCAGTCTTCCACATACTTGTCTCCTTATCTACAGCCCTGCAGTTCTCCCAATTAGGAAAGTCTTACTCCCCAGGATTCTGAATTTATAAGGGAATGAGAAATTCCAATCTTCTTTACAGCTTACATTCTTGGTCATGTTTTCATTTCCCTGAAATGGTAATGCCCTCAAAGATCAGAGATGGGCACTGCTCTGGCAATCAAGATGCTGGTTTGGAATGCCTCTATCCTTTATTGTAAGTGCTTGGGTTTAATATCCACCTCCCGGTCTCAGTTCAAGGCTCCTGCGAATCCAGATCCTGGGAGGCAAGATTGATGGCTCAACTAGTTAGGTCTCTGCCATCTTTCAATATAGGAGACCTGGATTTAGTTCAAGGCCCATGCTTTCAACCAAGACTAGTCATAGCTGTTGCAAGTATTTGAGGACTCAACCAAACAATGGGAGTGTGTGCTCTCTCTTTCCTATCAAATAAAAAAAATTGTAAAATAAAGACAAAAGTTATCCTCAGGTGAGAAAAACCAGCTCTTTGGATATTGGGCCCTGTTCCTAAGTGTGTCATCACACTGAAGTCAGTGGAAATGGAACACAGCTGCCACCCCTACAAGATCCTACCTGCCTGGAATTCTGCAGGATGAACCTACACAGCACTATGCACATCAGTCATAGGGAGACACCTTTTAATTTACTATGTAAGATTTTTTTAGAACAGAGAAAAATCTTAAAAATGTAATCCTGTTTATCCCTACCAAAAAAACCCATTCATATTAAATTACATATTAAAAACATCCTCCCAAATGAAAGCTATAGTTGGTATGCATTTAATCCTCCACTTCTTATCCTCAGTGGACTTACTTTCTAAATATGTAGCTTTAAACAAAAGCTATTCAATAAATATAGTTTTGTGCTAAAATTACAAAGAAAAACTTCCATGCGGTTGTTTTTAATCCTTTCTGAAAAGGGACTATGTGTGATTCAGCCAAGTGTTCTTAGCAGTTGTACTTTGTAAATGGCTCTGTCCCAAGATCAAGATGTATAAACATCCTGTACATACACTGTGCAGTCTTTTGGAGCATTCTCCTTGCAGATGGAATGGACTTCCAGGAGGAAATGACATAAGCATGGTGCATAAACGATAAAAGCACAAATGATGGCAAGTGACAGCACAATTATAACAGTCACTCAAGAATGTCAGGAGAAGACAGAAGGAATGTCATTGAGTTCTTTTGACACTCCTGTTTGCTCAAATACAGTAGGTTAGGATACAGTAATGTTAAATACTTCACCTACGCTAGGCAGGCATTAGCAAAAACTATGAAGAACCTTATTTTTGAATGGGTTAGATCCTTGACAAAATGGGAGAAAATTTCCCGTTTAAAAATACAAGTCGGTGTTCTTATTTAAACTTGCACAGATCATATTTCATAAACAGTGTTCTTTCTCTCAGTCTTAAGATCCCACTCTGACAGCATGGTCTCAACAGGATCAAGCAACACTTTCTGCTACAAATGCTCAGGCTATGAATAGTGCACCACTGAGATTGAAGCAGATGTGAATATTGTGAGGCACCTCCATCTACCACCACTATACAAAACTCAGTGTCAAATTCCTCATAGGAATCTGGTGTCTAAAAGAACACAGAGAAAAGGCCCTTTCTCATGAAAACATTGGTTTCTATGCTGAAAAATGAATCATACCTTTTTCCTTAAATCTGTCATTTCCCAAATATCAAGAGCAGATGGTGTTTATATCATTTGGAAATCCTAGAAATTCTGATATGGGAAAATAAACATTTCCAACTTGTAGTTGTTGTATTTTTATAAAGCTCAGCCTGTTGGAGCAAACTTTTTGGCAAAGGTGTGGTCTGACACCCTGGAATCCTAAGCTGTGGGTTAAGAGCCTTGAGCTCCTTGGTCGTCATGTAATTATGAAGCATAATGTCCACTTTTATTAATCTTACAAATACATTTGGTGCTTGGCATTCACATTACCTCATGCTTATTAATACATGCTTGACATTCAAGAAAACTGTTCAATCATGAATAAAACAGGAACAGCCCCCCTTTCCACCACATCACACACGTACACACACACACGTGAAAACACACACACAGTACACACACCCCAAGTCATGAACTGGTTTTATATTTGAAGTCTACATTTACCTGAGGAACATATTTGAGCTCAACCTATGCATGGATGTAAATTTTTCTCCACATTAACATTTCAGAAGTTACATTCTGCTATTTTCTCTTTATCACAATCTATTAAGCTACAAAAGGCTACTTGAGAACTCTGCTCAGATCTCCCCATAACTTCTACGAGTTGTGCATGTTAATGGAGCTAGAGTCTGACATTATTGGTTCTAAAAGTTTGTCTATGAAATTCTAGGAAGATCTTGGTGATGTTGCAATTCAGACAGACACATACAAATAAGTAAAACTCTGTTTTTGGGATTCCATATTTCATTTCCATTTTATTTCACATTCAAAGTATCTTGAAAGCACAGTAAAGGCTCTTGTTTTTGCAGTTTAGAAGTCTAGTCCCTGTATTAACTATGGAGATCTATTTTTCCAACACAATCTCAATTCAGGATTTGATGCTGGTAAATGACAACAAACTATGTGCTATTTTATAAGGAATTCTTTGATAAATAAAACAGTGTGAAACAAAGCCTTGAAGAGCACGTTGTCCAGCCCCCACATCCTCCTGATGAAGAACATGAGGCTCCGCTGGATTCACTGAGGGATCTACTTGCTAGAAGCAGAACTGGAGCTACAGGTCAGGTTTTGCCTAAAAACCAGCATCTTCAACAAACCACACGGCAAACAGTAGTTGTGTTAAAAATTAATTCTGTTCCCTAGCATCAAAACAAATGCACAAATAGGAAAGATACATGGTTGTTAGTTGGTTATTTTATGAACAAGGCTGTTAAAACTTAAATTAGCACGTGTAAGGAGTTGGCACAGACAGGTTTGTTTTCACAGCAGCACTAGCATCTGCACGACATACCCCCTTAGCCACTGCCCTCAGCCCTTCCCCCCTCCAAGAGAGGTAGCGCTGCTGGCTGCAGATTTCTTCAGCTCTATTTTCATAGACTGAGTCTCAGCTCGAGGCTCGAATTTGGTCAGATTTCCTGCTCCTGGGGCTGCCACTACAGGCTTTCCTGCTTTCATACCTTTTGACATAGGAATGCGGGTGGGTGTAGGCCGCTGAGTTGACCCGTCTTGTCCTGACTGTAAGAGAGAAACACAGAGACACAGAGAGATGTTGGTGAGCTTCCCCTGGGTTATGCCATCATCCGAACATCAGCAGCACTCCTGACACACAGGACACCGATGGAGGACTCTTCTCCAAACAAAAGAATTGTAGGAAACTTGGACTTCATATTTCACATGACACATCTGTGCCCAACTACCACCTTGTCTACCTTCTCTGAAGATGACTTTAAATCCCATTTCTCAGAGAAAATACAAGCCTCCAGCATGGATTGTGCAGCTTTACTTCACTGCCCTAGGTTATCTCCAGTCTCACCTTCCTCCCTTTCAGATGAGGCAGCTCGTTTTTCTCCTCCCACCATCTCAGACGCTTCTATTTCTGTCACTGCTCACTACGTTGCTAATGCCCCAAACGCCCTTGTTATGATTTCTTTGTCAGTCTCCCCTTCTGACGTCTCCTTCTCCGTTCCTCACTGCTCCCTGTGCCACTTGGCCTTTCTGCGGGTGCAGCACTGCACCTGTCATCAGCCCTCTTCGGTGTTTTGCATTTCTCATTAGAATCACCTTAGTTTTTCTCTCACGTGCCAAAGCTCAAGCAACTCTAGCTTTCAGGGCTCTCTTAACATATGCAAAGATTCATACTTCCAATTTCTCTCTGGAAATTTCTGTTTTCCTTTCCCCCCACTCATCCATATCAAATATAAATGACATGCCCCAAATGCTGCTTATTCTCCTCTTCAAACAGTTGGCTCTTCTATTTTCTCATCTTTTTTCCTCATTCTATCGCCCCGGGCAACTAAACTAGATATCCTAGTACCCTCTACACTCCATTTGTCATGAAGCCTTTTCAGTTTGTCTTCAATTCGTGTTACTTCACGAATCCAGCAGGCACTTCTCTACTCAATGGCTCCCTTAAACTCTGCAAAACTGAACACCAATGTCATAATAAGACACATGACCCGTTCAACATGTAACTCTAGTTTTGTTCTCCATCTTAGGCTTTTGCATTTTCTCTCCATGTCCACTTAACTGCAGAAACACAATCCAATTGTTGACCATCCTGCAGACACGCCAAGTGCCTTTGCACGGTCACCCCTTTACACATATTGTTCCAGTACTCCTCCCCTTTTCCTTCTTGAAAATCCCCCTTCTCTGTAAAACCTCCTCCTCAGTGAAGCCTTCTCTGGTTGTTGTTAGGTACACACTTCTATTACAAAAGCACTTAAATAGGTTCCAACTTCCATTCCCTCAAGAACTTTTAAACTCCTCTTTGCATACCAGCATCTCTAACTCTATGCCTAAAATGTACTTGAGACAACCTCACAATTCAAATTCTGAGAAGTGTGTTCTAAGCCTTTTGCTGTTCTTGACTTTATGGGATCTGGTACAGATCCAACATCCAAGTTTCAAAATCCTTGGGCAGTTAATCAGTAGTCAAAAATGTTGCTATAGAAGATTAAGCTATCTTGATCTGACCTTTAAAAATGGGAATAAGATATTACAATGGAAAATCTGCTATGAATATGATTTATAGCTCCACCATCTTTCAATAAAATACAGCAGAAAGATGGAAAACCTTCCTAATCACATTAAGATACTGCCTAAAAAGCAGTACTGAACCTTTTGAGATGGGTGCACAATTTTGAATGCGAGGCACTTCCTGTAGAGCTGACAACTAAGGCTTTACTGGCAAAGCAATTGGACAATTCACACTTTGACATCTGTCTTCAGCCTATGCACAGAAAATTAAATGACATTGAGCAAATGATGAAATAAGCTACTGTTTCTATACTTAAAACTATGAGCTTCTATTTTTCTTAGCGTAATTCAGTTTATGCTGTTATGTAAATTATTCAGTTGGGTCTGGTATCATGGCTTAATTGACTAATCCTCCCCTTGCAAGCACCAGTATCCCACATGGATGCTGGTTTGTGTCCCAGCTGCTACACTTCCCATTCTGCTCCCTGCTCATGGCCTGGGACTGTAGTGGAGGATGACCCAAAGCCCTGGCACCTTGCACTTGCATGGGAGTCCTGGAGGAGTTTCCTGGCTCCCGATTCCTGGATTCAGATCAGCTTAACTCTGGCCATTGCAGCCGTTTGGAAAGTGAACCAGTGGATGGAAGATTTTTCTGTTTCTGCTTCTCTTCATAAATCTGCCTTGCCAATAAAAATAAATAAATCTTTTAAAAGAAAGTTATTCAGAGTCTTGGAACCACAATTTCTGGCCTGCTAGATTATTGGAAAGGCAGATTTACAGAGAAAAGGCAAGAAAGAAAGATCTTTCATTTGCTGGTTCATTCCCCAAGTGGCCACATGGCTAGAGCTGAGCCAATCCAAAGCCAGGAGCATCCTCTGGGTCCCCCAAGTGGGTGCAGGGTACCAGGACTTTGGGCCATACTCCATTGCTTTCCCAGCCCACAAGTAGGGGGTTGTATGGAAAGTAAAGCAGCTGGGACATGAACTGGCATCCACATGGGGTCCCAGTGGATGTAGGGTGAGGATTTTGCCACTAGGCTATTGCACTGGGTCCCTGGCATTTTAGTTTAAAATGCCTAAGTATGATATGTTATTTTATAATTAAATTTAGTAATTTGCCCCCAATAGATGAAAACTATTACTACAGGTGTTTTAAATCCAGAATTTATTTTTAAGCTCTAGATTTTGTACTTTGGGTATGCTTTTTATAATCAGTCATTTTTCAAACTAATTAGCAAGTAAATATTTATGAAATAACTGCTCTCTCTAAAAATATGAAATAAAACATTTTAGGCATATGAACCAATCTTTTTGCTTTTAAAAGCATTTTATATAAAAATTTTTTTCTTCCTGTTGGAATAAAATATGACTATAGACATGCCTGAATATTTTGCATACTAAAAATCTAGTTTATAGGAATATATCCTAGGAACAGTTTTAACTTTTCTTATATATTGACCCTTTCCCTCAGTTTCCATTTTAACAGGTATTTTAAACATAAAAGCAACATTTTAACCTTATAGTTACTCAGTGCTGTTATGTCAAAGAAATCACCTTTGCAAGTACCATGAGAAGTCTCCATAGTTTATGTGCATGTTTGAAATTTTCCCTCAAAAGTGGCCCAATTTATCTAAATATTAGGTCTTCTAATTTTCATGTCTCAGAATAGAAAACACTTTGGGAGCCCTGTGCCAGTGGGTTCAGGTGGAGACAAGCGCATGTGGTTTTGTTTGATCGTGGATGCTGCGTTAGTCTCCCCACTCCTGAGCTTTGAACCCTCCCCCACTTACCACTGACTGTGTTCCTCGGGTGGATGAGGTGGTGACCGGTGTGATGGTGATGCTGCTGGTCACTTTGCTCGCACCAGGTCGTGAAGACGCATGGTTCCTGGGAGAGCGAAGGACAGTGCCAGTGGAAACCTCCTTTTCAGCTGTCACATTGACTGGTCGGACAGTGATGACCGGGCTCACCCCTTCAGTTGAAGTCCCAGGAGATCGTTTGAACTGAGAACCTAAGTGAATGTGAATTTTATTGTCTTCCGTGGTTATAATGTTGGCATTAGAGTTGTATTTTCGTACTGGAGTTGGGACAGTCTGTTTTTCTGGGGTGACTTTGAGGATAGTCCTTCCCATGGGCATTTCCTGGGGTTCAGGAGAAACTGCCACCTCAGCTGGCGCTGCTGATGTGGACACGGTCATTATCTGAATGGGTGATGTGGGCCGGTCTGAAAAGGTGCCTCTTCCACTTTCCGGAGTCTTCTCTCTAGAAAAGGTAGTAATGGTGACAGGGGACATGGCTCTTTCTGTGCCAAGACTAGTATCTCCACTCTTTGGTTTGGGGGACATCACATTTGGTGATGGGATAATGGTTATCCTCGGTTTCTGATTCCCTAAAGTAGGAATGACGGTGGTACTAGAAAAAAATTCCTCAGAGGTGGGGCTGGTTATCTCCAAAGTCGCAGTACTGTTCTCGTGGTCTGGTGTCACTCGAATATGCAGGGGCTGGCCCTGCTTTGGTGAAAGGACTAGCTCTCCTGGGTGCCCTGGGCTGGAATTCGTGCGGGGCCCTTTCTCCAGAACTCCTGGGGGGCCATTCTCCCGTTTTCTCATCCATGGAATCCAAGACTTCCTCATAGTGAGCTCATTCGCAGCTGGAGGGTACCTGTCCAGGACGGAGGTGCGTTCCATGGGCTTTTTCAATCCCACCTGTCGAAGGTTACTCATGATGTGATTTTCTTCTTGAAAGGATTTCCGTATGAACACAGCAGGTGTTTCCTCCTCCGCGGCTTCGCTGCTGATTGTGTCCGTCTGTACCCCGGTCGATGTCACCGGGACATCCACCATTCTTCTCCCATTCACACTGGGTCTAAGGGCTCGGCTATAGCGCTTAGAAAGCTCCAACTCCTTGGTTAGACTGAGGACTTCCTGCCCCATGCTTTTGTTTTTATTTTCTTCTTCCATAAATCGTTGTTGAAGGACCGAATAGTCCACTTGGAGCTGAGAGAGCTGGTCTTCTTTGTTCATCAACTCGTGAATTTTCTCTTTCAGAGCTTGGACTTCGGCTTTTAAGTCTCGACTTTTGGCTTCTTCCAAACGAAATCTGTGTCTCAGCTCAGCTTCCTGACTCACCGCCTCGCCTTTCTCTATTGCTTTGTTCTTGGCAATTTGGTGCTTGATCTCTTCTAGCTGCTGGGAGAGGAAATTAGCCTTATCTTGCTCAGTTCTAAATTTTTGCTCCAGCTGATCATACTCATCCTCTGTCTTCATCAGATCCCCTTCCACCACCTCCAGTTGTTGGAGACGTTTCTTCAGTCTCTCAATTTCCAGCGTCAGCTCCTTAATCTTATTATCTTCTGGGCAGGTGAGTTCAGATCCTTTTCGACACCTTCCTCTTGCTATTTCTCGTTCCACTTCCTCCATACCATCCAGTCTCTTTTTCAGCAGGTCCACACTGCAGCTTAACTCAGAAGACTTTTCTTCCTCACTTCTCAGTTTTCCCATCAACTCATCTCTCTCTTTTGTCAGATGGTAGACCTTTTCTTCCATTTCAGATTTCAGTTTTAATAGCTTCTTACTTTCTTCAATCAGTTTTTCAGTTACATCCATAACTTTCCCCTGTTCCACCTTAAAATTCTTATTCAGCCCATCTACTTTTCTTTCCTCCTGTTTGATTTTTTCCATCATATTTTTCCTTTCATCAACCAGCATCACAGTAAATGACTTCAGCTTTGTAAGATCATCTTTTAGGCTTAATTCAGCCTTTTCCAATCTACTTTCAGAACATTCAAGTTCTTTAACTCGACTCTTCACCACCTCTAATTCATTCAGCAGGTCTTTGGTTAAGTTCTTTTCTTTCTCCAGATTTAAATGCAGTTGCGTGCATTCAGACTTACTCTTGCTGAATGCTTCTTCCAATTTCTCCAGTTCTGACATTCTTTTCTGTAACTTCTCAACTTCGAGTTTGAGCTCCTTACTGTGGTGCTCTTCTTCCTGCAGCTTCTTCCTCAGTTCCCTGCACTGGGATTCAGTCTTGGTGATCTCCTCATCCTTACCCTCCATTTCAAGCACACGCTTTCGGAGATTTTCCACTTCGGCCATGAGGCTGGAATTTCCACATTCCCCTTTGGCAATTTTCTCTCTTAATTCCTGAAGTTCTTCCTCTGCCTTTTGAAGATTCTTGTTGGTTTCTTCCAGCTCTTCGATTCTTTGAGTTAAGCCGACCAGCTTGAGTCTGAGTTGCCTGTTGTGGGATTCTTGATTAGCCAATTTAGCATTCATCTCTTCATGCTCCTGAGAAAACCTCGAAGCCTTGTGTTCAAAGTCTACTTCTAACTTGAGCAATTTCTGTCTGTCTTCTTTGGATTTATAAGTAACAGCTTTGAGCTTTTCTTCTTCTTCCCTCAGTTTCTGAGTAAGATCCTGCACTTTCTGGCTTTGCAAGCCAAGTTGCTCAATATGCATTTGTCTTTCATCCACCAGCATGAGTGCAAAGGACTTGAGCTTAACAAGCTCATCTCTTAGTTTATTGAGCCGCTTAGCATTTTCCTTTTCTTTGCGGGCTTGGTAAGCCTTTTCTTGTTCAAGGAGTTTTTTCAACCTAGAAAATAAAATATAACTTAATGTGAAATGAGTGATCAGCAGATCAGCTTAACTTTTAATTATCCATATAAAACCAAAATGCTGCTAAATGAGTTCCTTATCGATTGCTATATCAAGGTTTAACAAATTGCCACTAATCTAATTTTTAAAAATTTAGGCTATTGGGGTGGACATTGTGGATGGCAGGTAAAGCACCTCTTGTAAAGCCCACATGTCAATATCTGAGTGCCTGGGATGGAATCTGGCCCCTGCCCTACTCAAGCTTCCTGCTAATATTTGTCCTAAGAGACAATAGGACAGGAATGCTTGGGACCCTACCACTCATGTGGGAGATCTGGATGGAGTTCTTGACTTTGATCTGGCCAGCTCCCTGCACTTCTCATCCTCGCCATTTCCCCCATACCCTCACCCCCCTGTTGCAGGCATCTGTGGAGTGAAACAGGGGATGTAATCTCTCTATTTCTGCTTTTAATTAAATAAAACTAAATAAAGCCTACCCCCAAACTTCACCCTGAGGAGTGGGTAGTGGCTGGAAGGAAACGTGAAGAGGATTTCTGGAGTGTCATTTCTGATTATTCAGGATGGTTCCTCTCAGGAAATTTCAATAAGCTGGACATTTATTGTGTAAGGACCTTTCTGTTTGAGGTACCATACTTTCGTAGAACAACACTAAGTAAAACTTAGGTTATGCAATAATGACTAGTACACAGTGCTTTCTGTATTCCAGGCACTGATCTTTACTTCTTACAGAACACTATGAGATTCACCATGCCACTATCATCCCCATCAGGGCAATCAGACACAGGGAATTACATAACTGTGCCAGATATCCTAGCCTGTAAGCAGCCATGCTGGGATTCAAACTCAGCCAGCTCCAGAGCACTCACCTCTCACCTCCACGTTTTAAAACTTGAAGAGAGAAATTTACTTTAAGTGAAAGGAAAGGCCTGGAAAAGAAGTAACTTTCAGGGTTGTTTTTTTTTTTTTTACCTTGAACCCTTGAAATAAAATGATGCAACTATTACCTCATAAACCATAAAGCAAGATGAGCTCTCTGATCCAAAATCTGATCTTTCGTCCCTATAGGTAATTATGCTTTTCCAATAAAAGTAAGTAAATCTTTAAGAAAAAAAATAGAGAAGAAAATAGAAAGTCTCAAAGCGTTCTAACAATTTAAAGAGAAAATGGTTGTACGAAGTACTATGAAACATACGTAAAATATGATAAGACAGATAAAAGCGGTTGGTGTGATGGGAGGGAAGGGGAAACAGGGATGGAGAAGAAGACAGGAGTGGTTTTCAGGAAAATTAAAAGGGTTAAAAAGAAAACTTGTTCTGGGAACTTTTGCTTGAGATTCTAGAGAATTTCTAAAAGATATTATTTCAAAAAGACTTTCAGAAGCCTATCACAAAGTCTAATTTTTACTAATACATATATTTTTAAGGGGGATAAGTGTGGTTGCTAGAAAGATGAGTCTCTCAGGCAGTATACAGTTTCAGTTAATTTTTAAAATAATCGTAAATTTACTATGCCTTTTTATAAACGTCACTTAGTTAAGGGAATGTAACCAAGAAGGAGCAGATTGCATTTTTGTGCCAAATCTATTTGCAACAAACACCGTGTTGTGATGACAATGCTATTTCTAAAATCGATATCTGCGCAACTCACATTTGCAAGACTTTGTTTAGATTAACCTTATACATTGAAGGACAGTCATTTAAGGGTACGCGCTTGGCCTCTGGGCTAAGTTCATTTTGCTGAGTCAGTCTGTCAAGATCCTCTTTGGATCGTCTTGTCACACAACATATCAGCTGATACCAAGTACTGTGTCAAAGGCAAAATAACCTCAATCATTAATCAAAAGACGGGTCAATGCACGAGACTTCAAAACACTCTCAAGATCTCCCTCCCGCTGACTTCAATCCACTCAAGATCGATGATTTGTCATTCAATTAGCTGTGCTCTCACTGGGCTGTTCATTTTGACTTTATCTCTTCTGAGTTCCCAATGATCCTCCCCTAGGCACCAGTTCCAAACACATCTTCCCGATGCCAGCCAACTACAACCACCTCTTCCAGATGCTTATGACTCAAATTTAGAGTTTTCTTTCAGTCCCATCTTTTGTCACATTCCCACATTCAATCCCTTAGCAAATCCTATCAATTCTACCTTAAAAAAACACACCAAATCCAACTACTTTGTCCCTCCTTTATTGCTATCACCCTGGCCCAAGTTACTACCACCTCTTACCTAGATTATTACAATAGTTGCATAATCTAATTCCCAGCTTCTAGTCTTGCCCATCCTCAGTCTATTTCCCTAGAGGTGAAAGTGATTCTAAAATGGGGAATATTATAAAATCATATTCTCTTTATAAAAGAAAAGAGAAACAAGGGAGACACAAGAACCAGGCAGAATCAACATTTTAATGTTTTAAAATATATGAGTGTATGTTTGTATAAATACATATACATATTTTATATTATGTGTCTATATGTTATTATAATAAAGAGATGTTAATGTTTCTTCTTACTCTTTTAAAACCATTTATAGAAATAGTCCAGTTAGTAATTATAGCATGACACTATTAAGAAATAACAAATCATAAATTACAACCATTGGATTTCCTAATATTCTCATCAATGTCTCTCAAGAAGAGACAGCCAGACTCTGTATACATATGTATACACCACTATCTACAAAATAGTCTAATCAAAAATATTAAACCTGAATCAGATCAAACTTCTATAACAGTTATTAGTTCACAAGAAGGACAGAAGCAAGAAACTGCTAAATGACATCACAATGATGAGATCAGAAAAAAGCCAAAAGATTTAAAGCCATGTGAGAAAATCTGATTTCTTCCATAAGTACATTCTAAATATAAAAAAAATTGATCAATAATATATCTAAATTTCCTATCAATATAATTCAAAGGAAAGAGAACAGATGAAGCCAGACCAGTCAGTGATTGACTACTTGATTTGATTTGATAAATTCCTTAATTTAGGATCAAGGGGGGGAGAAAAAGAGGTAAGTAGGATTAAAAAAAAAGCTTTATGTTAATGATCCATTCTAATGAACACCATTCTTGTAATACCCACTCCATGCTCCTGCCTTTATCCATGCTCAGAGTCTACTTTGGAAAGCAAATGATGTAAAATTCACAGGTTGTTTACTAACAGTCCCACTTTTCAACTATCTCACCAAATTAGTCAGTTTTATGTTTAACACATTAGCTGCCTCTTTGCTTCCTTACGATGTTGTCACTTGTCTCCATCTTATCTCATCAAGCCTCATTTTGAAACACTGATGTCACCTTCAAGTCATCCTGCGTGCTTCTCAAATTATGCTGATTTTCCTTTTCAGCAAACACTGTTCCTGCTTTTCATCAACTCTCCCTGTGAATATGTCTCTCTTTCAAGAGAGAAGGCAGGTCAGAACTAGCAGGGGCATGATAGTAATTAAAGGCGAATGAATCTCAAAAGAGTCAAGCTTGCATGCAGTTGAAAGTCTTTAAACACAATGCATTTTCTTCCCAGCAAGAACATGGAGCAGAACTAAGCAGCTTGTTGACATGAGAGAGCACGATTTTATCAAATAACTCAGGAAGAAGTGGTACTTTTAAATGAATCACTCAGTTGCTCAAGCTGCTGACTATCAGAATTATTCAACATTAATCCCAAATCCCTAGTACATGGCATGGGGCTGGGACTGGGGAGAAGTGGATGAGAGGAGAGATTCTTCAGTTGAAGAGTGAAATCCTGTTACTGTGTGAATTTTTTAAAGATTTATTTATTTTTATTGCAAAGTCAGAGATATACAGAGAGGAGGAGAGACAGAGAGGAAGATCTTCTGTCCGATGATTCACTCCCCAAGTGACCTTAACAGTACGTGCTGTGCTGATCCAAAGCCAGGAGCTAGGAACTTCTTCCAAGTCTCCCACACGGGTGCAGGATCCCAAGGCTTTGGGCTGTCATTGACTGCTTTCCCAGGACACAAGCTGGATGGGAAGTGGAACTGCCAGGATTAGAACTAATGTCCATATGAGATCCCAGCACGTTCAAGGCGAGGACTTTAGCTGCTAGGCCACCATGCTGGGCCCTGTGTAAAATTTTGATATTTTCCTTATCTCACTTTTTTGCACTAATTGTGATGTTTTAAAAAGTAGTAACTCCAAAACAGTTACTTTTAATAACTGAGAGAGTTTTGGGATCATCCTCTTAACAGTTGTACCCAAAAAGAACCCTACTAGCCTTGCCCTAATCCCGGCTCTAATTACAGAGTTCCAGAGAATCCTTGTGTTAAGAAAATCTATTTATTTGAGAGGCTAAGAAAGACAAACAGAAAGAGGCAGAGAAAGAGAGCTTGCACCTGCTGGTTCATTCTCTCAGATGTCCACGTCAGCGAGGGCTGTGCCACACCAGGGCAGGGAGCCAAAAACTCGATCTCAGTCTCCCTTGTGGGTAGCAGGAATACTCAGGCCGTCATCTGCTGTCTCCTAGAGAGTACATTCACAGCCCAACTCCAGAGCAGCGGAGGATTCAAAGCTGAACACTGTCATATGGGGTGGAAGCTGTCCCATCTGGCATCTTAACCACTGCATCAAACCGAATCCATTTTTGTAACTGAAGAAATGAAGGTCCTTTATAATAGAACACATGTTTCAGCTTCAGTTTTGTTTGATATTTCTGAGTAGTAGGGATAAATTTGCAAAAGCCCTTGTATATTTTTTTCCTTTTCCCCTTGGGAAGACCAACAGTATTTTAAAACATCTGATCTCATATTTTTTACCTTAGCCCATACAGTATACTAGAAAGTTTCTCATCCATTTCAAATTAGAAAAAAAAAAAAACTTGGTGATACAGAATTAAAAGAGAATTAAATAAAAACAGTTAACTTGTAACTAACAGTTACTAGGAATTTTTAAAATGAATTATAAGAGTCCATTACCTATTAATTTTTAGACTTTATGTTTGAAAGTTATTTTTTAAAAGA